GGACTTGGGCCATCTTCTGCTGCTTTCCCAGGCACATTATCAGGGAGCTGGATTGGAAGTGGAGCAGCCAGGACTTGAACTGACCCATATGGGATGATGGCGCTGCAGGTGGCAGCTTAACCTTCTGTGCCACAGTGCCAGCTCCCAGGCTTCTTTAAACTTCTTCATCAGGGTTTTCTCTTTGAAGTGAAGATGCACGGTGCTTATTGAATTGGTCTGATTACGGTGATCTTTGTCACTATTCCAGGGCCCATGTGGAAGTGTTACATCAACTTTTGCTTGGAAAGATTTTCTAAGAAGACAAACAGTGAATTTCTCAGAGGGAAGGTAAGGACTTAAGTTACATGGTTATAGTGGCTCACTAGCAAGTGACTTTTTTTTTTTTTTAATATTTATTTATTTATTTGAAAGGTAGAGTTACAGAGAGGCAGAGAGAGAGACAGAGACAGAGGTCAGTCAGTCTTCTATCTGCTGATTTTCTCCCCAGACGGCCACAACAGCTGGAGCTGTGCTGACTGAAGCCTGGAGCCAGGAGCTTCTTCCGGGTTTCCCACATGGGTGCAGGGGCCCAAGAACTTGGGCCATCCTTTGCTGCTTTCCCAGGCACATTAGCAGGGAGCTGGTTTGGAAGAGGAGCAGCCAGGACTTAAACTGGCACTCGTATGGGATGCTGGCACTGCAGGCGGTGGCTTTACCAGTTATGCCACAGTGCCGGTCCCAGGATTTTCTTTCTGAAGGAAGGGTTTGGGACAGCTCCTGAGAACTTTCCGCCTAGCCCCCGTCTTTCTCTTGTGGGTGACTGCTGTTCTGAAGGTCTGGGTTTAGTTTATGCCTAAGGGCCCTCCAGGTTGGAAGCAGCTGTCTGCTTACAGCCTGTACCCCATACACCTGACCTGCTCGGGCAGTCAAAAGTGAAATCAACAAACGGCAGCAACTCAGTCTCTTCACCAAATTCTCAGAAATATGCAGAACTGCTTTTGTTGGTGTCGGAGGCATGTCACTCCTGTTGGTATCCTTAAAATGGACTGAAGGATTTTTCTGTTTGCAGAGGCTGGAAAGAACCATGATTGCGTTCAGGAAGGCACATGGACTGAAGCTGCTGTCAGAATCCCAGTACAAGCAGTGGGTAAGGACGTGGGGAGCACATTCACTGCCAGTTACAGCACTTTATTCCAGTTGTTTTTTGACAGTCTTACACATTTGAAATATATATACTTATATGAATAGGCCCACTCAGAAGATCCGTATGTAAAGAGTGTTTACTTTGGGCTGTCAGTACTCAGTATATGCTAAACTTGAAATCTGTACTAGTGAAGCGAGGAATATCAATTTTTTTAAAAACTTTTATTTAATAAATACAAATTTCAAAAGTACAACTTTCTGATTATAGTGGTTTTTTCCCCCTATAACCTCCCTCCCACCCACAAACCATCCCATCTTCTACTCCCTCACCCATCCCATTCTTCAAGATTCATTTTCAATTATCTTTATATACAGGAGATCAAGTCAGTATATACTAAGTAAAGATTTCAACAGACTGCACCCACACAGAAACACAAAGTATAAAGTACTGTTTGAGTACTAGTTATACCATTAATTTGCATAGTACAACACATTAAGGACAGAGATCCTATATGGGAAGTAAGTGCACAGTGACTCCTGTTGTTGATTTAACAATTGACACTCTCTTATTTATGATGTCAGTAATTACCTGAGGCTCTTATCATGAGCTGCCAAGGCTATGGAAGCCTCTTAAGTTCACAAACTCCGACTTTATTTAGACAAGGCCATAATCAAAGTAGAAGTTCTCTCTTCCCATCAGAGAAAGGTATCTTCTTTGATGGCCTGTTCTTTCCACTGGCATCTCACTCACAGAGATCTTTTATTTAGGTCATTATTTGCCACAGTGTCTTGGCTTTCCAAGCCTGAGAAACTTTCATGGGCTTTTTAGCCGGATTGAATGCCTAAGGGCTGATTCTGAGACCAGAGTACTGTTTAGGGGATTTGCCATTCTATGAGTCTGCTGTGTATCCTGCTTCCCATGTTGGGTCATTCTCTCCTTTTTAATTCTATCAGTTATTATTAGCAGACACTGGTCTTATTTATGTGATCCCTTTGACATTTAATCCTGTCTTTATGATCCATTATGAACTTAAACTGATCACTTTAACTAGTAAGATGTCATTGGTACATGCCAACTTAATGGGATTTGGAGTCCCATGGCACATTTCTAACTCTACCATTAGAGGTAAGTCTGAGTGAGCGTGTGCTAAACTGTACATCTCCTTCCTGTTTTATTCCCACTCTTATTTTTAACAGGGATCAATTTTCAGTTAAATTTAAACACCTAAGAATAATTGTGTGTTAATTAAAGAGTTCAGCCAATGGTATTAAGTAGGAAAAAAAATACTGAAAAGAATGAAATAGTA